TAATACATTTTCGTATGTGGTACTTGTCATCGGGAAGTGTATCAACAAGGAAGCGACATGGACAATTCGGCCACTTACAATTAAATTGGATTTGATTTCTTTCTTTCCTAGTTTTATATGAATAACTACAACCTGCTTGGATTTCTTGTTGCACTCCATACTTAAGCAACTCGATATATGTGAGTTCGTGATCTTGGATCTGCATTAAAATGAAATGATTTGAAAGAATAAAGAATTTTGAATATATTGATCTTATTTTGATAAGCTTGGTCGTGTTTTGAATAGCTTGGCCATCTAATTCAATTATGATCTTTGAAAATTAGGTGAAATAAAACTAAACATAAATGTAAAACTAGGGATATGAAATTTTGGTTGTACACAACTTGTATGTGCCGGATACCATTGTGTCAAATTTTTTCTGAAATTAACTTTAAAAGTACTAAGTAAGATCATGAGATATAGCAATATATGTTTAAACCAACTTATATTTTGGTTGTACACAACTTGTATGTGCCGGATACCATTGTGTCAAATTTTTTCTGAAATTAACTTTAAAAGTACTAAGTAAGATCATGAGATATAGCAATATATGTTTAAACCAACTTATATTTTGGTTGTACACAACTTGTATGTGCCGGATACCATTGTGTCAAATTTTTTCTGAAATTAACTTTAAAAGTACTAAGTAAGATCATGAGATATAGCAATATATGTTTAAACCAACTTATATTTTGGTTGTACACAACTTGTATGTGCCGGATACCATTGTGTCAAATTTTTTCTGAAATTAACTTTAAAAGTACTAAGTAAGATCATTTATTTTTGCATAATATAATGCCAATATGGTTTCTTTTGATTTTATTTCATTTATAAGCAAATCAGATTTACCCAAAAACTCCACTCCATAAGCGTTCATTTGCGAAATTAAAAAGTGACAATGGGCTAGTCTGTCCCTTTCTCTGTTTTCTCTCAATTGCTGCTCACAATTTCTCGATGAGAGATTTCGCAGAAATGTTTATATAGTTCTTTCCAGAATTGATCATACAGATAGAAAAAATTATTAAAATTATGGATGCGAAATCTCATAAAACACCTAAACCGAGATTTGATCCAAATAAATATAAAACAATTTAGCTATTATATGTGAATAAAAATATCTATATTAAATGATTTTTTAGAATTGAAGGTGAAGAAATGCAATCTAGGAAAAGACGATATCTTTGAATACTTTACAAAATTTTGTATAGTTTACATTATTCAAAGTCACTTTTTGGTCCGAGATTTTGTCACTACTGTATAAATAATTCATTAATGCATTTATCCAATAATTATGCTATGATATTTTTATGCCTTATTTTATTTCTCTTATATTGAATAAAATGTTAAAATATCGAAGTGTTTCGACTGAAAATTTGATAGAAAATGGTAATTTTTCTTGCAGAAATAGAAAGTATATATTGCAAAAATAGTTTATGTGGAAATCCCTAGTCCAGGAATACGATTATTTATCTGAAAAATTAAATAATCGTCTGACAAGGGTAAATTTATTTTTACCATTATGTTTATTATAATAAGAACTTCTTATTTGAATTTTTTTTAAAAATTGTAATCATGTAAATCTTTGAAAAAATATCTTAAAATTAAATCCGAATTTAAATAGAAAATTTGGATGTTTTTATAAGTTACATTTATTTATGATTCATTAAATTTTTAATATTTGGATACTTTGCAAATTTCTCAAAATTGCATGCATATGCGATCTTCATACTTTAAAATCTTTCTATTTATCCATATATCTATTAATATACAAAGTGGCAATGAAAATTTCGAAATGAAAAACGATTTTAAATATATTTGAGTGTAAAAAGTGATAGATTCGATAACAAACAATATCAATATATTTATTATGCCACATCATATTTACTCACCAAGCCACAGGTTCGGACGTTGAGGTCTGGGGTCGAAACACTTCTTAAAATATAGTTCAGACTATAATCATTAAAGATTATTGATATTTATATAGATTATAATAAATTTAGTTTCATTTTCTACTTATATTTTGGAGTGTGGTAGAATTTACGAAAAAGTGACACTAGAAAAGTGACACTTAACCTTAAATTTCCAAACACTATTTTTGATTGTATTTTGTTATTTATATATTTATATATATGTATATTTATATATGTGTATATTTATATATGTATATATTTATATATGTATATATTTATATATGTATATATTTATATATGTATATATTTATATATGTATATATTTATATATGTATATATTTATATATGTATATATTTATATATGTATATATTTATATATGTATATATTTATATATGTATATATTTATATATGTATATATGTATATATGTATATATTTATATATGTATATATTTATATATGTATATATTTATATATGTATATATTTATATATGTATATATTTATATATGTATATATTTATATATGTATATATTTATATATGTATATATTTATATATGTATATATTTATATATGTATATTTATATATGTATATATTTATATATGTATATATTTATATATGTATATATTTATATATGTATATATTTATATATGTATATATTTATATATGTATATATTTATATATGTATATATTTATATATGTATATATTTATATATGTATATATTTATATATGTATATATTTATATATGTATATATTTATATATGTATATATTTATATATGTATATATTTATATATGTATATATTTATATATGTATATATTTATATATGTATATATTTATATATGTATATATTTATATATGTATATATTTATATATGTATATATTTATATATGTATATATTTATATATGTATATATTTATATATGAATAAATAATACATCAAACTAGTTTTAGAGTTGATAGTAAGAAGCGAAGAACACTACCAGTAAGATACAGCAGTAGTAGCTGCTTCATGCTGCATTGAGTATTGTTGAATAATTTGAAGTAGTGGTTTTTGAAATCAGCACCCCTATGAGAGCGCTGGCGACCGAAACACCACTAGTAAGATTGTGTATTAGAAACTGCTTCATGCTGTATTGAGTAAGCTTCGATATCTTTATCAGACCACCTTTAAATTAACCACTCACATTCTCACTGTGGTCCATCTAAAATTTGTAAACTTTATGACATAAAATTATATAGGGTGTCCAAAGGTGTGTTTAGCACAAACCTGAATACTGCGAATAGAAATAAACAAGTTACATATATATAAAGTTTATTTAAATATAATCACCATTGGATTCAATCACGCGTTCGCAGCGATCGATCCAGGCTTGAAAGACACGCTTTAAATCATCATGAGAAAATTGCTCAAATTGCTCTCTTACAAAATTTTCAAGATCATCTGGACTCGCGAATTCGCGTCCTTCAGCTCTCTTTTTTAGCGTGCCGAATAAATAAAAGTCAGAGGGTGCAATATCAGGTGAATAAATTGGGTTTGGAACAACTTTGACATTGTTTTCCACCAAGTAATTCATTACCTTATGACTTTTGTGAACTCTTGAATTATCAAAATGAATTGCAAACTTTTGTTTTTGTTGTTTGGATTTCTCAAACTCATCAGAATTGATAATTTGAGTAAGAACATTGTCAATTAGATACTGAGCATTCATCGTATTAGGTTTTTGAAGAATATCAATTGCGATGATGCCATTCACGCCCCAAAAAACCGACAACATCATCATTGGTGTGTCAATTTTTTTCTTCGGGAATGTTTGCGGATTTTCATCCTTCGGGATCCACATGATTTTGGCTTCTGTTGCATATTGAAACCAAGACTCGTCCCTGTTACTAAAAAGCGAAACTTCTTGGATTGATACGCACCCAATATAGAGAGGAGCTCTTTCGAAGATTGGACTCTAGATTTTTTTTGAACTGAATTAAGGTTGTGCGGAACCCAACGTGTATACGCTAGTTTGTAGTTCAAATAATTGTGCAGATAATAACTGACTGTTGTACGTGGTATCTTTGTCATCTCCTCTATCCTTCTGAGTGATGCTCTTGGGTCTTCATCTAGCGCTTGAAGAATTGCTTTGATTTTTCTTTGATCCGGCGATTTTTTGTCAATTTTTATGATGGGCGCCTTTTTGTTCATGAAGTGATACATCCTAACATGATACGTTACAGTGGAATAGCTAGGAGCATCCATACCGAAGCATTTTACCAATGTCTCGTAGATTTTTTTACAGTCTTTGCATTTTTTTGCAAGAGCGAGGATGTTTTCTTTATGATTCATTAAAAAAATGAAAAAAATCCCGCCAAAATTTCCCGCGAAACCGCCTCTTGTCTCAAAATTCATTTTATATCCCGGCATGGCGCCAAAATACAACATACTCATCATATACATATATTCATATTTTTTATTATATATTTATAATCAGCATATATCTCCATTAATAGTCTCATATAGAGCGCTGTGCTAAACGCACCTTTGGACACCCTATATTATATGCAGGATCCCACCTATTACTTAATCTTTTTGGAATAAATGTTTTATAATATTTATCGATTGATTGTAATTTTTTGTATAAACAAAGTTTTTTATTTATATTAAAAATATATTCGGTTAATGATATTATCTTATAATTTGTAAATAAATCTAGTAATAAAATAACTTTAATAGTTGGTGTCACTTTTTCGAAAATTCTGGTTTTTTCGTTCAGACTATAATCATTAAAGATTATTGATATTTATATAGATTATAATAAATTTAGTTTCATTTTCTACTTATATTTTGAATTAATAATTCTTGATAGATCAATTTGATGGCTTACAAAAGAATTATATGGTCCAAATTGAATACTTACAAAAATCCGCTCACAAAATTAAAAAAAATTGATAATTTTAATTAAATTATAGTAGTAATTTGTCTTGCAGCTTGGATAATATCAACGGGAGTATAATGCTTAAAGCAATCGCTTCTACTTTGCATAAAAAAAATTAATATCTCTTCTATATGCGTCCTAAAGCTAATGATAACTACCAAGGGCCTATTCCTCAGAAGGCCGAATCCCTCATACAAAATGCATACAGTTATCTTGAGTATTTGCTGAAGGATCATAAATGTCGCGAAGCTCAACTTAAAAATACGCTGAATATATTCGATAACTGGATGGAAAAAGGAGAATGCCTTTTCAATGTTACAAATGATGACAAAGAAGATTATTATTGCTTTGTCAGATGCAGGCAAGAGAAAAAGGAACCAAGTCGACTTATTGGCCTTTGGTTGCTTTGTGCATCCTGCTCAGTGGCTTCCTGCGAGAGAACCATTAGTGCACAAAGGCTTATCCTGACAATCCGCAATTTAAGGCTATCCAAGAAAGTTAAGGACACGCGGTTGACAATTTTCAGGAGTCTTGAAATGCATTTACATGTACTTAATGTATAAATATTAAATATTACTTATCAATATAAATTTTTCAATTTTATCATTATAAAATATTTTGAAAGAAATATAAAATTCCCTTCGAAATTTGAGTGAACTTATAGGAACAAATTTATTGATATCTTTTTCTTTTAATTTGTTTGACTAAATATATTTGCTTTTCACAAAAAACCATTTAAATACATTCACAAAATTGATAATTAATAATTGTATAATAAACAATCATCGTTAAAAATATAAGCAAAATAATATTAGAATCAATAGATCTAACATTAAAATAAAAGATTTTATTTTTCAATTCAAGTATTAATGTTAATGCTGATTTAACTTGTTATAATACAGACTAAAAAGTGAGAGATTTTAAATTTTAACAAAATTGGCATTTCATTGAATGAACTGCCATTATAAGGAATGAATTCTATAGCATCAATGCATGGACCAAATATTAATTATCCTCTTCAAATAGCCGGCATTGAATGGTCACTTAAATTTACTTGAGCCTGAATATATTCTATTATATTAGGGAAAACCGCAACCACTTTTTTAATCACGATTTAAATATATAAATCGCGATTTTTTAGGAAAATCGCGACTTTTTTAAAATCGCGTTTTTTAATGAATTGCGATTTTATTGTGGTCGCGATTTTTCAAAAAAATCGCGATTTTTATGAAAAATTGTGATCAAAATTAAACGCGATTTTCTTTATCAATCGCGAACATAGAACAAATCGGAACCATGATTTTGGACCTCATTAAGCGAAAAGGTCGCAATTAAATTCAATAACAAAGCAATTCACAAAGATTTTTTGAATCTAGAATGGCTGTTTATCCATTTTAGACTGCTCACAATATGGTTTTTCTGCATACTTGCCGAAATCAGAGATCTAAAATCAAACAATCTCGATAACAAATACCTCAATCCCACTTTACTGGTCAAAATTCTTGAAGTCTTACTTTACTGCACTAATTAATCATAATTTACCTTTAACTAAAAAATATTACATAAATCTAACAAAAAAACCTTTAGCAATAAAAATACATTTGCTCAAGCCTATCGGCAACTCAAATCTAAAAAAACTTTTTATAACATTCTTATTACAATTTTTATTTTATTCTTATATTTATATTTTTTAGTTGACTTTTTAAATAATGATCTTTAGATTGAACCAATAACGCGATTTTCCATATAAATCGCGATTTTTTTGAAAAATCGCGACCACAATAAAATCGCAATTCATTAAAAAACGCGATTTTAAAAAAGTCGCGATTTTCCTAAAAAATCGCGATTTATATATTTAAATCGTGATTAAAAAAAGTGATTGCGGATTTCCCTATTAAAAAATATTTTAAAAAATAAAACAAGTTTTTTAGATTTTAAGATGATAGCATTGATATTTTTAAATTCTAAAACGACAGAAATACGCCATTTTTTCTGTAGATTCCAAAATCACACTCTTAATGAAATAAAAGCATTTTTTGTGATCGACGGCGGAGATGAACTCCGATCGCTTCGCACCCTTCGTCTATCTCCGGGGTCGATCACAAATTTTTTACAACATCCCCCATGGGGGAAGAAAAACTTGGAAATGTAGTTTTTTCTTCCACCATTCCGCATGGTTAGTGATAAGAGTGTGGTAATATGGACGAGATTTTGGAAAAATCTTGTCCTCGTCATTAAATTGACCGCGATCATATTTCTTATACAATATAAATGGTGAGTACTCTGTTCCACTGTTATAAATCAGGGCTGTTTCTCCTTTTCCTAATTGGTCGGTTTTGCTGTAACGAATTCTGAGGTTGTAAACTCCTTTTTCTAAAGTTATATCGTTGTGGTGAAGATTAAGTGCTTCCCTAATAACCTTTCACGATCAAATCTGACACGTTTACAACAATATTTTGTCAGATTTCAATGCAGCCTTTGCCAAAATTTCCAGAGGATCATAACTGAATCTAGTTGACCACCGCATATTTTTTGTATAGATGTTATTAAAAATGCGTTTCTTCATAGGTATAGATAATATTTTAGGCTTGTGAGTCTAATTTTTCTCTCTGTGATACAAATTGTGTATGTGCTGAAACTAGTTGCGAAAGGATGGTTTCAGCTCAAGGTATAATATTAACTTCCAGAAATCTGAACATAGCACAAGATCTTATGGATGCAAGCCTTAAGATAATGAAGGGTTTAAGTTATAAACCATATTAGATCTTGAGATTATTTTGTTAATTGATTAAAATATTTTTTATGCTTTTAATTATATTTAATTGTTTATTTGAAATGGAATAGAATGGGTTTGGTATATTTGATTCTTGTAAACCAAAATATAAGATTTGACTGCGTCAGATTTTACACGGCAAATTTTAAATGCATGCAAGGTCCACTTTGATGAGTTTCAGGAAGGAATTGGAGACTATCGGGTACTGGTATTTCATCAGTCTCTTATAGCCTCCAATCCCTTCAATTCCAATCAGAAAGTTCCAAAACTTTAGTTTAATGTAATGAATCAAAAAAATCCTGACACGAAGTGTCAGAATTTTTTTGTAAAGTGTCAAAAATATTTTTATTAAATTTTATTATTTGGAACTAGATATAAGGAATGAAAGGGGAAGGGGTATATATTTATAATATATACCTCTTACCCCTCCATTCCCTCTCTGACAGCGGGAAACTTTGTCTAAATGTTAAACTATTCAGACAAAGTTTCCCGCAGTTTGCGAAGGAATTGCTGGCTCTGATGTACTGATTCATGATCAGTACATCATAGCCAAGAATTTCTTTTAAAATTGTTAGAATTTTTTTTGGATTATCAAATTATGCGTAGAATTTTTTCAAATTTTTATACAAGACGATAGCTTACGAGGCTTTGATTCGAGATCAGAACTTCGTAAACTATCGTCTCATCTCAAAAAATTGCTCCAGCTAGATCCATTAAAGTGTCACTTTTCCGTGTAAAGTGTCAGAATTTTTTTTGATCCGCGACACAAAACTCTAGTTTAAAGTCTTTCAATTAACCAAATGGAAGTTTAATGCATGAAAAAGGGTCCCAGTTCATTTTTGACGCTTTATAATTTGTAATGATATAAAATAAATTAATAATATATAATATTCTAAACATATTTATATATCTGGCTAAAAATTGAGTGCAATTTCAACATAGGAGTGTGTGAGTACTATTACATGTAATAGTACCTCAGATCCGCCAATCCAGAGTTATATGATCATCAAATATGGGAACAAACAATTTATAATCATCCTGGAATTTTTGAATTATTTATGGATGATATCAACTCTATGTTCAACGGATTATCTGTGGTAATTTTCAGATTACTAGTGATATACTCTGATTATGTTAAGGCTCTAAATTTTTATTTTTTAATTGAGTTATATTCAAATTTTATGGAAGATCTTGAAAGGGACTTCATCTAATGGATGGAACAGTTCGATACAATCAAGATTAGAATCCATGAACTGTAATTTATGTCTTTTGACAAACTCTGTACCTTCTTTGGATAAACTTTCATCAAATTCACCGTTCAACAAATTCTGTGAAACTTCTTGAACAAAATCTTGGAACCTTTCATCATGGGACTTCTTTAATGGTATCTGCGCTGTAGGAATATTCATTAATTCCTCTATTTCAGCTTCAGTATCATTAACGTCAACATGAGGTTCTTCGATTTCAGGTTTTGGTTCTGATCCAACCAAAAAGTCAAGAATTTCTTTTTTCTTTGCTTTGCCGGTGTATTCTTTATCCAAAATATCCTTGAAAAGTGCTAAGTTTTTCAAATAGTTGTTTGAAGGTTTGTAAGATTGATCGTCAGAATAATATTCATCATTAATTTCTTTAATTTCTTTTAAAGAATCAAAGACTTTCTTTAATTTGCTAAATGGAATTTTTTTCTTACTCGTTCTCATTTAATTCAAATTAAAAAATGACACTTTTTTAAACGATAAGGTTTTTATTCATAAGAATACTAAGGTGATTCCAGGACCTTGTTTTTGTTTTTCTTCATCCATTCGTTCCAGAATGTATTAGAAATCTTCCACGAACTTTAAGAAATCATACTCCTTGTGAGGATATTTATTGCACAAATAGGAAATGTAATTCCATAAGCGGATACTCTCCATATCAGTAAGGGTAGTATTGCCATATACTTCTTTGAAATGACTTTGTAATTCTTCGACTGTGACTGTTTCCTTAGTGACCCATGACTGAAAGAATTCATGAAACTTGTCCAAGCTCATGAAAAAAATGACACTTTTTAAACGATAACGTTTTGTAAACGATAAGGTTTTTATTCGTTCATGTTTGGATTAAAATGTTTTGCAATCAAGAAAACTTCATCCTGAAGATCAGCAATGGCTTCCAGAATTGAATCAAGTTTCTCATTGATTTCTTTGAAAGAAACTTTTTGTTCATCTTCTGATTCCTCTTCGAAAAAACCAGAATTTTCGAAAAAGTGACACCAACTATTAAAGTTATTTTATTACTAGATTTATTTACAAATTATAAGATAATATCATTAACCGAATATATTTTTAATATAAATAAAAAACTTTGTTTATACAAAAAATTACAATCAATCGATAAATATTATAAAACATTTATTCCAAAAAGATTAAGTAATAGGTGGGATCCTGCATATAATATAATTTTATGTCATAAAGTTTACAAATTTTAGATGGACCACAGTGAGAATGTGAGTGGTTAATTTAAAGGTGGTCTGATAAAGAAATCGAGGCTTACTCAACACAGCATGAAGCAGTTTCTAATACACAATCTTACTAGTGGTGTTTCGGTCGCCAGCGCTCTCATAGGGGTGCTGATTTCAAAAACCACTACTTCAAATTATTCAACAATACTCAATGCAGCATGAAGCAGCTACTACTGCTGTATCTTACTGGTAGTGTTCTTCGCTTCTTACTATCAACTCTAAAACTAGTTTGATGTATTATTTATTCATATATAAATATATACATATATAAATATATACATATATAAATATATACATATATAAATATATACATATATAAATATATACATATATAAATATATACATATATAAATATATACATATATAAATATATACATATATAAATATATACATATATAAATATATACATATATAAATATATACATATATAAATATACATATATATAAATATACATATATATAAATATACATATATATAAATATACATATATATAAATATACATATATATAAATATATAAATAACAAAATACAATCAAAAAATAGTGTTTGGAAATTTAAGGTTAAGTGTCACTTTTTCGTAAATTCTACCACACTCATTCCTCTTCTGATTCTTTTGGTACCTCATCTTCTTTTGGAAGCGAGAAGAAGTATTTCTCAATGGCTTTGTCTATTTCTTCATGGAACTCCTTTAATGGCATGTCTGAGAAACAATGTCCCATAAAATTTTGATTATAGATCATTCGAAAAATTTCTGATTCAGGATATTTCAAACTATTCATCAATTTTTCTTTGACCATCAGCAAGTAAGGTAGACTAACAATTACATCTTGATCTTGATTTTGTGAATCAAATAAGGTATCAACATCTTCAATGAACTTTTCTTTGGTAATACCATGTTGATCAAGGACTCGACGTTGGGCAAAGACATTGAATTCCAAATCCATTACTAAAAATGACACTGTCAGACCATGTGGTCATTTCACTTTTTTCATGAGTGAAGAGTTAACTGTTCTAAACTTTGAAGATGCTCAGTCGTTCAGAAAAGCTGCTTGGCAATATGCAAAACAATGAAGCATTTGTCGATTATGCCATGAAGAACTTTCGTGACTTATTTGAAAGAAAAATTGGTGAAATCGTTGTTGATTGGTTCATTCAGAGACATATGATTGACTCAAACTAAAAAAGTTATTTTTATTAAATTAATTTTTTTTATTCTTCTGGTTTAAAGTTTGTTAGAATTGCTAATTTCAATTCCTGATAGATGAGTTCAAGGAATTCATTATGAGCAAAGACTTCATTCGGAGAGGTTTCGCAATTGAATTGAATAAAGTACTTCAAAAGCTTAGTAAAGTAACTAAGATTGTTGCGGTCACCATAAAGTTCATTGAATTTCTCCATTGCTTGGACTGGTGTGTAATTCTCCATGGGTTCTAATAAATTTGCGAACTCACGAAATCTTGTCTTGTCAGTTTTCATCATTTAAAAAATGTCACTTTTTAGTTTTTTCAATGGGCTACGACGAGGACATGTCTTACATAAAGAACTCAATGAACTTTCTCACGAATGCAATCATTGTTTTCTTTTGTGTTAACCTTTTCATTCTTCTCCTATTCATGATGTTGTTCTTCTGTGAGTTTCACGGACAATTGAATCGTCAAACTAACATTCAATACTTAAGAACAGCAAATGATGCTCAAGACTTACTTAAAAACAATTGAATAAAAAAATTTAATCATTTATTCATTCTTTTTTTTTTCTTTCATGTTTGTACCGGTTCCACGTTTGATCTGATCAAGAGAATTCATCATGTCATCAAGATAACTTACTGATTCTTCCAATTTACGCAAAGACCTTGCGTCAACTTTATGTTCTTTTATCTCTGTCTCAATGTCTAATTTGAGTTGCTTAACCAAATTCATAATCCCTTCAACAGATGACATTAAAAGTGAAGTGGTCAGAGTGAACGGTTTTGACAGGTTATTTACTCTAATGGAAGGATTTGAGTTCATGCCACTTGCCAGCAAAGAAGGCGCAGAAGAAGTTGTTGTCGCTGCATTCTACGCTAGCTCACACGTTGACGCATTCCGAGCTTACCAAGATGATCTTGTAAAAGAAGGTCGAAAGCTTGGAAAGATCCAAATGTTGCTTGACTTCTTCCGAGGAAATCTTGCACAGAAGTACGAGAAAAAAGAATAAACAATTAATTTATTAATACTTAATTTTGTCACTTTTTATTTTGTCTAATGGAGTCAATGACACCTAAAGAAAGAGAAGAACTTGAAGAACTCAAAGATGCTCTAGTTTATTCTTATCAACATGTTGAAGCATATAAGGAATACCTTAAGGTTCCTAGAGACGAACACAATCCTACGATCAAGATCTACGATGCTCTCATAGACTTCTATCGTAGACGTCTTGCAGGTCATGAATAAAAAGTAATTTTAATCAATGTAAGTTTTTTACTCTGATCTTAGATTTCATCGGGGCATGATGAAAGAATGAAGTCCATAAGTTCTGCCTTTGTTTTAACAAGAAGTATGGCGGACATGAGGAGTTCTCTTCTGTTGGAACCCATTGGAACACGACCTTTCCAATTGCGCATTGATCTCAATGCTGGGACTGTAAAGAACTTGAGAACGTAAAGTCTTTGGGACTTAGGGAGGAAGTCGTCTTGTTCCCTCTCTGCTTGTAGTGTTCTTGTCGAAGCTGTTGACTTGATTTCGTCTTCTTCGATCGGATCGTATTCTTCTTCACCTTTCTTCATGGTCATACGTTCACGCTTGTAATCATTCCTGAGAGCATTGAGTCCTGCTTCAAGATCTTGAGGATTTTTTGTAGGTTTCCATAAAGGTTTCTCCTGTTGCATTTGTTGCATAAGCTGTGTTTGTTGTTGCATCATTTGCATCATCATTGTCATCATGTCTGGTGTCGGTGCTGCTTGAGCTGGTGTCGCAGGTTGGTCTTGGGACATTTGGTCCGACGGTTTAGAACGTTAAGTACCGGCACATTTTGTACTGACACGTAAAGTACTGGAACGATAAATACCAGTACTAATTGTCCATGTCTGAACTTCATCCGATCTGTCAGCTTGAGATCAACGAAGTTGTTTCGAATTAACTCCTACAAATCTTCAGTACCAATAGATCAATCCAACTTACAAAAGTTTCAAGACGCCAGATCCAAAGACTTGAAGCTGCAGCAGGAGTAATTTTAAGCTTTGAAGAAGGTCTTACAGAGAAAAGCGACATCCTTGACTCAAAGCGTGACACACTTGCTGCTTTCTTAACGAAACACCCATGGGTGAACATAGATCTTAAGATACCATACCAAGGTCTTGTTGAAACCTTTACGATTTACAGGCAACTCCTTGAAAGACCTGAACAAAACATTCTGGTTGAACGTGATGGAACATTAAATCCAACAGATCTTCAAGTTGAGAAAGAAGAAGCTTAAGAGTAAACACATTCATTTACAAACGTCACTTTTTTGAATTTTTTCATGAGCGTTCACGTGAACGCATTTTGTTTATCAACAGTTGTAATAAGAGAAAATATTAAAAATATATTTGGAAGATTAATAAGCATTTGTGTCGCCTTTTCTAGTGGAAATGTAACTTTTGACCAATACTATTAATTATTCTATTTGAAAGCTCCTTTATTTTTGTAATAACTTTAGCGTGACTTGGAGCAAGCTCTCTAGTCACACAATTTTCAATATCAGTAATATATTGTCTAAAACCCGTGAAAAAATTAGTGAGGATTGGAATTATAAGAGCAGAATTAATTCGGTTCGATTCAAATATGGTAGAGAGTGTTGCAATTGGATGGAAAAGAATATAAACTATAACGTATTACTTATCAAGTAAACTTATTGCTATTTGAGTAAATCTAAAAACTATTTTTTTCAAGCATCGGAGTTAAGGGAAATTATATTATCTAGATTTTCTGTGACATAGTCTAAGATGTCACGTAATATATACCATCCAGTCTTATTGTACTTTGGACAAATTGCCCTAAAGAACTTTCTAATTGGTAGCTTTCTCAAAAAAGTTAAGATAATTCTTAAGAGATCATAGTCAATATAACATTTTGGAGCATTTTGCAAAAAATCTTCTAATGCTAATTGAATATCGTGACAAATACAGGAAAAACGAATAACCTTATTGGAATTAGATGTAAATCTGTGGTTTAAATTAGGAACTTCCACAGGAAGGTTATCAGTAGTCAATCCTGCGAATTTGATATGATATTCATTAAGTTTTTGTTGGATTTTATCTACAATAGAGTAATATGACGCAGAATCACTTTTAAAATTAGTCAATACTGTGAATGGATGTGTCAATTCCATAATTGCAGAATTAAATATCGAATCCATTTGGTTTAGCAAAGAATCCATTTAATGAAGAACAAAGTAGTACAATCGAACAAAACTAAGAAAAGAAAAAATCATGTTGGGATAAAACTAAAATCATTAGTTTAGTTATTATTGCAATTACTTTTGTTATTAATTCTATAATAACACTTTTATTTTATATCAAATTAAGTAAACAAATTGATGTTTATTTTGATAATTAGAAATAAATTTGAAAAGTCTAATACAAAACCTTTGGCATTTCTTGTTGATGGTAAAAACATTTCAAACATCAAAATATGGGAAGAAATTATATAATTAATTTCAATATTTTTGTCAACTCCACTTTGTTAGTAAATTGAATGAAGGAATCAACTTCATCTATTTCACTTCATTTTTCATCTAATGATTCCAGATAAACTTGCTGGAGAAGAGTCTTCATCAATGGATACTAGGACCTTTCATGAAGATGATAATGATAAACTTGATTTTCATCAAATCGAAATCAATGAGTATATACACTTCATTGACCAAACAAAATATCTCAAGCCATTTCCTTCCGAAATGATTACAAAAGTTCTTACTGCTGCAATTAATGAAATCAATAATATCATTCTCGAAGAAATCATTACAAAAATCATTGATACAATCAAGGACAAATTATACTTTGCATGCGAATTACAAATCCAAA